ACTCCTGTCAGCTAAAAACAGGAAACTGACGCTACAATTCACACAGTCTCAACAAAATTGGAAAATAGAAGATTGGAAAAACGTTGCCTGGTCTGATGAGTCTTGATTTCTGCTGCAACATATGGATGGTAGGGTCAGAATTTGGCATCAACAACATGAAAGCATGAATCCATCCTGCCTTGTATCAATGGTTCAGGCGGGTGGTGGTGGTGTAATGGTGTGGGGGATATTTTCTTGGCACACTTTGGGTCCATTAGTACCAATTGAGCATCATGTCAACACCACAGCCCACCTGAGTATTGTTGCTGACCATGTCCATCACTTTATGACCACAGTAGACCCATCTTCTGATGGCTACTTCATCTCAGACTGGTTTCTTGAACATGACAAGGAGTTTACTGTACCTAAATGGCCTCCACAGTCTCCAGAACTCAATCCAAAAGAGCACCTTTGGGATGTGGTGGAACGAGAGATTCACATCATGGATGTGCAGCCGACAAATCTGCAGCAACTTTGAAGCTTTCATGTCAATATGGAGCAAAATCTCTGAGGAATATTTCTGGTACCTTTTTGAATCTATGCCATGAAGGATTAAGGCAGTTCTGAAGGCAAAAGGAGGCCCAACCTGGTACTATCATGGTGTACCTAATAAAGTGGCAGGTGAGTGTACATCAGTATTTATTGTGTAATTAAAGCTTACATGTACTATGCTAATTTAACTCCTATAAATGGAATAATGCACTTGGAAAAATGACCGGTTTTATAAATGATAATAATGGAGTCTTTGTAATACATATAAGAATTAAAAAATCTAAGTAAATGAGAGAGTTGGAAACACGTCATGAAGATCAACATGTTCATCCCCCTTCAGAAATGACTCTTGTAATGTCAGTGTCAAATAAATGTCATTGGGCTGTCTCTATCTGAAGGTAAGACTCATAAGGAGAATAGACATGACATGGAGAATAAATAGAGACTGACAGACAAATCCTTTCTCATTGGTGACAGCAGTAGATGCTCCATCTTCTCTTCTCAGCGACCCTCAGGTCTCTCAGCACAGCAACAGACAGAGAAACGCAGTTCAAAAAGAACATCAAAGTCACAGGAGTCTCAAAGTCGCCATTGGTGTGGTGTGTGTGAGGATGTGTGTGTGCGAGTGTCAGCAGCGATATGATCTTGACGGCTCTGGATAACATTTCTCTCATCAGTGCTTGTGAGGCAGAGCAGGTCATTCCGTCTACACCTTGTTTTATTTCATATATGCAGACGTGTCGTGGGACATTTCTTATGTTCATCTAATGAAATATCGATTTCTGTTGTCGCACGGATATTAAAACCTTCCTCCGCATCATGACTTAGACTTATATGAGCTTACACAGTATGTTCAAGACAAGTATTGGGGAAAATTAAAAGATTTGATGCTCCATAAATCCTTCAGTAGGACCCTGAATTAAAGGGGATAGTTCACTCAAAAATGAAAACTGCCTCATCGCTTACTTTCCCACATGTGGTTTCTTTCTTCTGTTGAACATATTAGAAGATATTTTGAAGAATGCTGGTTGCTGGGACATTTCAAGTTCCATGGAAAAAATACTATGAAAGTCAATAGCATTTCTCAAAATATCTTTCAAACTATAATAGGTTTCGAGCAAGTGAAAGGTGAGTAAATGATGGCAAATTTGTCATTTTTTAACCGAATTATTTCTTTAAGTTCGTGGATGAAAGACTTTAGGCATAACTAAAACACTGGTTACACATGTGGTTCAGTTTCTTGGTTTAAAAATAATATGTGCTCCTCATTTTCTCAGCGTTTACAGTGTTGTTGTTATTATTAGGCCAATCATAAACACATTATTTTACTTTCTTTTGTCATACATTTTGAAGTGTGCCTTACCAACAGCGAGCTAAACAAGAGAGCAGTATGTAGATACATACGGGAAAATGTCAATAGTGTAATTGTAAGCAAAAAACACTCGTCTCTGATTAGTGTAAAGAAACCAAATGCACCTCCGCAATAGAGATGAGAAAATAAATAAGACATTTCAACAGTTTTATTCCGTGCTTTTACATATTTTTCCATTCACAATAAGTCAAAGCCCACCCTCACCCCTCAAAATGACTCTCTGCACTGAATAAAATGTATTATATGGCCTTAATATTAGTACTTACGTGTAATATTTAAATGTTTGCTAATCATAGCTAATAAACATAGGAGTGTAAAAACAGTATTATTAAGTTCATTGTACTTGATGTATTTTAGTCAAATTTATCAGAATTTTCTTTTAGTTTTATCAAGTAAATCTTAAAATCTGAGTTATATTTGCATTAAGAGTTATATAACCTAAGTTACATACCAATTTATTTATACCTATCTATCTACTATGCCCACCACCACCCCCTTCCTCTTGGAAGGGCATCTATCTTTACGTTACTTGTACCTACGTTACCAATTTACCTATCTGTCTACTATGCCCACCACCACCCCCTTCCTCCTGGAAGGGCATCTATCTTTACTTGTACCCAGATACCAACCAATTTATTTATACTTCTATATCTACTATGCCCACCACCACCCTCTTCCTCTTGGAAGGACATCTATCTACTTAACGTAATTACTGTAATCTATTGCCTGTGACAATGGGAACAGATGTGTGTGTGTATATATATATATATATGTGTGTGTGTGTGTGTGTGTGTGTGTGTGTGTGTGTATGCCATTCAATTAGAAAAGTGGCAGTTTATTTATTTATTAGGCCTACATCAGTGGTGTCCAAACTTGGTCCTAGATGGTCAGTGTCCTAGAGAGTTTAGCTCCATCCCTTATCAAACACACCTGAACCGGCTAATCAAGCTCTTACTAGATAAACTGAAAACCTCCTGGCTGGTGTGTTGAAGCAAGTTGGAGCTAAACTCAGCAGGACACCAGCCCTCCAGGACCAAGTTTGGACACCCCTGGCCTACATGGAAACAAAAAATGCACTTGAATACAGAAAGTGTTTTATACTACAGTAAACAATAGGGTTGAGCCTATTTAGAACTCAAAAGGCTATGCCTGTCTATGTAAAATATTATGCTATTTTTTAAGCTTTAGAAGAGTCAAAAACTTTTTAAGCCTGCCTTATCTCTACACCAATACATTACTGACCAATGACAATATAAGAAACAGACTAAGAAATACAAGTGCTGTTTATTATCAGAAGGATGATATAAAACACTGACTAATTCATAAAAAACAGTACAAAAAGTGTTTACATCTGAATTTACAGTACAAAAACAGTTATATGCCAAAAGATTAAAAAACCATTTCCACCTTCGTATCTTTAAAAAATAAGACTAGAATTATCAGTATTTTACAACATTGTTTTCACTGTAGAAATGTCTAATGGATCATGTACTAAAGTATGAACAGAAGACTAAATGTTGTCAAAGTAAAACAACAACACTTTGCAGAAATCTTTGCTTCCCTAATAGATAGTGGTTGATATATTTTGGCAGGATTAAGCATCGGTAAACATGCAGTACTGGCCACATCCAAGCTAAATATGACACCAAGCAATACATGATTTTAAGAAAAGCAGACTGAGAAAGATGTAAACAGTGCTAAAGACGAAAATCAAAAGGTTAATGAATGATGAGGTGTCTACAGTTATTAGATCGGGGCTAGTTGCCACAAAGTTAGCACTCTTTACCGTTAACGTAGATGTCTAGCTGTATAAATAATAATTAACAGGAAGTTTTCATTTTGGGTGAATTATCCTTTTAAACACAGTGTTTGTCAATACAATAGTCAATATTAAATAGGTCAAATAAAAAAAGACAAGTTATCATGTTTAAATGTAAATTATCCATTTTTATAAAGTACATTTTTAATCGATGCTTTCTTGCTTCAAAATGCCGAACAGTTTGAGGTGGTATCTATTTTATTCATTTTAATGAAAAATTCTGAATTTATGTTTATTTATTCTCATTTATTTGATTTCTCGCTTTTTTCAGTCTGACACTTTTTTTATTCTCTTATGTTTTTAAATATTTTTATTTCAAACTTTTATGTTAGTAATTACACTCATCGGCCACTTTATTAGGTACACCTTTCTAGTACCGGGTTGAACCTCCTTTTGCCTTCAGAACTGCCTTAATCATTCGTGGCATAGATTCAACAAGTATTGGAAATAAGGCGTTTATACAATGCTCAATTGGTACTAATGGGCCCAAAGTGTGCCAAGAAAATATCCCCCACACCATTACACCAACACCACCAGCCTGAACCGTTGACAAAAGGCAGGATATATTCATGCTTCATGTTATTGACACCAAATTCTGACCCTACCATCGAATGTCGCAGCAGAAATCGAGACTCATCAGACAAAACAACGTTTTTCCAATCTTCTGTTGTCCATTTTTGGTGAGCCTGTGCGAATTGTAGCCTCAGTTTCCTGTTCTTAGCTAACAGGAGTGGCACCCGGTGTGGTCTTCTGCTGCTGTAGCCCATTCGCCTCAAGGATGTACGTGTTGTACTTTCAGAGATGCTCTTCTGCAGACCTCGGTTGTAATGAGTGCTTATTTGAGTCACTGTTGCCTTTCTATCAGCTTGAATCAGTCTGGCCATTCTCCTCTGACCTCTGACATCAACAAGGCATTTGCGCCCACAGAACTGCCGCTCACTGGATATTTTTCTATTTTCAGACCATTCTCCGTAAACCCTTGAGATGGTTGTGCGTGAAAATACCAGTAGATCAGTAGCTTCTGAGACACGTTCAAAGTCACTTAAAGAACCTTTCTTCTGCATTCTGATACTCAGTTTGAACTGAAGGAGATCTAAATGCATTGAGTTGCTGCCATGTGATTGGTTGCTTGGAAATTTGGATTAAGGAGCTTTTGGGCTAGTGCACCTAATAAAGTGGCCGGTGAGTGTATATATATATATATATATATATATATATATATATATATATATATATATATATATATATATATATATATATATATATATATATATATAATTTTTTTTTAAATACTGTCCTCCAATCTAAAAAATGTTTAACCATTTTTATGATTTTATTTTTTTATTAAACTACTTTATAAACATGTTGTTCATAATTGTCAATTGTTTTTAATTGTCAATTGTTTTGTCTTATTTGTCTACTAATTTTCTGTAAGTGAAAATGTTTTTGTAGTCTTAATATTTTTGTATAAACCCATTTTGTGACATATTTATTTGAACAGAAACTAGCCCTTATATAAATCTGCTTTATATAAAACATAAATGTTTTTTTAATTGGTTGGAAATGTAACTTTTTTCCAGCCATGCTTGATTTATTTTGATCTTTTGTAGGATGAATATGATGGAATCTTTGCAGTATTAATGTCAGTGACGGAATTTGGAGATTCTTGGCTTTTGTCAAACACCTACCGTACTGAAAATGTAAATTAATTTATGCGCATATTTCCTCGATATCGTCCTCGTGGTCTTGATCTCTGTCATCAGCGCCGATGCCTTCGTCTATACTCTGTAGTCGAGCTCTCTGTCCGTCCGTCTGTCGTGAGCCTCTTTGTGCGGCTCGACATGATGAAGATCTGTCCATCTGAGTCTCGCTACTGAACAGCTGGAGTTTAGCGTCACTCTCGATGGCCTTCGCCATGCTGGAGGCGAAACTGTCAATCACCTGATGAAGCTCCGCCTTCAACTGCTGAGACTCCTCCTCCCCTGATCACACAATAACAATCACTACATCACCCTCAATAATATCAGCTTATGCACCAGGTATTATGTTAGAAACAATTCTATTGTTTATACCACATATTCTGTATTGAAAGTCTTTAAATAGTTCATATTTGAATTATTTTTATATTAAAATTATATTTCAATTTAGATTGTTATTATGATTATTATTTTTGTTCTTGTTGTTTTTAAGGTTATGAGTGAATGTGTAAGCATTTCATTGCATATCATACTGTGTTTGACTCCGTATGTGATAAAAAATGTAATTTGAATATGAATCAGCAACTGAAAAATGGGGTTTTGGACACTTTTCTGTGATAGGTTTGGGTTTTAGGGTCTATACTGTTTTGTAGTCGATGCAAAGAAAACAAATATTTACATGTAAGTAACATGTACAGCGAGTGGGCGGGGCCGAGAGCTGTGGGAACGGGATGAAGTCCAGCAGAGGAGCTCTGGATTATAAAAGGAGAAGAGACAGCAGTGGAAGATGAGAGAGGACCAGGCATGAAAACTTTTTGCTTTCAGCTTGGCGGCAGTCTCTGTGAGAAGCTGCTATCTGTTTGTTTTCTTTTATCATTATTAAAAACATTTAAATGTTTGCCGGTTTTCTGCCTCCTTCTTCCCGATAGCCAGCGACTTTATTACAGTGTATGTCTGTACTTAAAATAGGCATTGTAATTAGAAAATATGTCCGATTTGAAATGTAATTTATTTTATTAATTTATAAATAATAAAATGTATAATAATAATAGTAAAATATAAATAATTGCAATATTATTGTGAAGTGTCTTTTATTTTTCAAGACACTTCTATACAGCTTAAAGTGACATTTAAAGGCTTAACTGGGTTAATTAGGTGAACTAGGCAGGTTAGGGTAATTAGGCAAGTTATTGTAAAATGATGGTTTGTTCTGTAGACTATCAAAAAAAAAAAAAGCTTAAAGGGGCTAATAATTTTGAACTTAAAATGGTTTTAAAAAAATAAAAACTGCTTTTATTCTAGCCGAAATAAAACAAATCAGACTTTCTCCAGAAGAAAAAATATTATCAGACATACTGTGAAAATGTTCTTTCTCTGTTAAACATCATTTGGGAAATATTTAAAGAGGAAAAAAATCAAAGGGGGGCTAATAATTTTGACTTCAACTGTATATATATATATATATATTTAAGTAGTATTTAAAGTGGATAAAATGTAATATTTATTAATATATTAATAATCTTTCTCTAACCAAATTTTTTTATCTCGAGCACATTTTTTTCTACCTTTCATCTGCGGTTCCACCTGGTCCTCAAACATGACTGAACTCCTGCGCTTGTTGAATAAAGCAGAGTAGTGTGAGTTTTCTGCCCCTTCAGAATAATTATCCAGCAACATGGTGTCTGTCCCTGCAGAACAAAACAAAACACTTCAGGACAGAAACTGCTGTTGAAGATACTATAAAAATACATGTGTACAGTAGATACACTACAAGTTTAATTTTGGGATAAACATTTTAACAAAATTAAGATCTATGTGAGGATGCCTTTTACAGTTTTCTTATAAATGCAAAGTGTGTGTTTGGTCCGAAACACAATTATTGTTTGAAAAATGTAACTTAAGTTTAACTTCCTGTTTGTAAAATGTTGGATAAAGTTTGAGGTCATGCTTGAATGTTTAAATTGGGGAAAATTGTACTCTTGCTTATGTGATATTACTGAACTGTAACTCATCCAGGGACATTTTTTAAAACATAAATTATAAAGGCATTATAACTTCATTTTAATAGGCTTCATCATGCATTGAATGCTTTCAGATATTCATTGTAAAGTGAGGGACATACTTAACATCTGCTGCACATCATCACATAAAACAATTATTATGTGTGATTAAATTGGTCAACAATTAATGTCCTTCATAATATTTTTATCTGTATATAAACCAATTCCCACGTCATTATTACATAGCACAGTGTGAAATATTGAACTTAGTGTCAGTGAGCATTTGAACGAGAGTAATAATGCTGAAAATTCAGCTTTGCAATCCAGAAATAAATACATTTTTTCAAATGTGTGGATAGAAACACACCTGAGTCCTGGGAGAAGCTGAAGCCAGTGTCACCTGTGCTGCTGCCAGCTCCTAAAAGCTGTCCTCCTCCGGCCAACACAGCCGTCAGGTGCGGAGACATGCCAAGATCTGCAACAGAAACATGTCCGTTTAAGGCAGGACACAGTATTTGCACAGTATTTTGTGTTTCGCAGAAAGAATTTTAAAAAAAGTTTATGTTTTTTTGTAAAGCAAACCATCCCTTCCTTTTACGACAGTTCCCAAACAGTCAGCAAGCTAATTCAGATTATTAACAAATAAATTATTTATTAAAGTAATAATAATTTTTTGATTATGCATTATCATTTTAAAGTAAATTAATATATTACATATTTTATAATAAAATGTTATTATATCATGTTTATATTTTGTAAAAAAAAAAATATATATATATATATTTTTTTTTATAAATAATAAAAAAGACTGATTTCTTTTTATTATATGAATCATGAAATTAATAATAGCTATATATATATATATATATATATATATATATATATATATATATATATATATATATAATTATATAAATAGTTATATATTTATAATAATATTATTATATATGTAATACTTTTTATAAAATAGTTATATTATTATAAGTAGATAATTATTTATATAATGATTATGAATTAATGATTCATATAACAAAAAATCATTCTCACAAATAAAATAATTAACATTTTATTACTTAAATGTAATAAGTTATATTACTATATTATAATAATATTTAATTTTTTTATTTTTTTAAATGATTATATTAATATTATAAAATGATTCATTTAATAAAAAATAAATTAATTAGAAAATTATTCTCACAAATAAACTAATTCATATTTTATAACTTAAATGTAAAAAATATATTACTATATTGTAATATTTTTTCCATATACTCTGCGTCGCCTAGTATATGGAAGTGCTGTCGCCTCACAGCAAAAAGGTCGCTGGGTCGCTAATTTGAGTCTCTGCTCAGTTGGTGTTTCTGTGTGGAGTTTGCATGTTTTTCCTGCATTCGCGAGGGTTTCCTCCGGGTGCTCCAGTTTCCCCCACAGTCCAAAGACATGCAGTACAGGTGAATTATGCAGGATAAATTGTTCGTAGTGTGTGAATGAGTGAGTGAGTGAATGTGGATGTTTCCCAGAGATGGGTTGCATCCGCTGCATAAAAACGTGCTGGATAAGTTGCCGGTTCATTCCGCTGTGGCGACCCTAGATTATTAAAGGGACTAGAAAATGGATGAATGATTCTCACATATAAAATAATGCACACGTTATTACTAACATCATATCCCTTCCCAACCAAACAACCACGGCATTGTCCTCCAACTCCCAATGAAAGCAACCAGGTTAAAACACTCACCTGTGATTCGGTTGGAGATGCTAAAAAGGCGGTTCTTCCTATGGCGACTAACGAATGATTCCCTGTAGTGGTGATCAGTGCAGCACATGCCCAGTAGTTCTTTCCTCACGGTCTTATTCCACAGCCCGTATATAAGAGGATGACAAGCCGCACTGATGAAGGACAGCCAGGACACCGCGGTCTCCAAACAGGATGACACACTTCCTCTCCCCCATAAGGCCTCAGTGCAGATCACAACCACATACGGCCCCCATGTCATCAAATAAGTCCCAATGACCACCAAAATAGTAACCAATGCTTTACACTGGCTGCCGGCGTAGATTAAACCTTTGCGGCTACCAATGGAGGAAACCGAGGCGGTGGAGTTTTTGCGTCCATTTCGATTGGATGACGATTGAACGATGACAACCGTCCCACAATGCACTTTACGAGCTTTGTGTCGTGCAACACGAAAGATTAGGCCGTAGCATATGAGCATGGCGGACAGGGGGACCAGACAGCACCACACTACCCAGAATGCAGTGTAGCTGACCTCACGATACCAGGCCACAGTGCAGGTCTTCTTGAAGGGGTCGAACTCGAAGGTGGACCAGCCGAAAAGAGGAGGAAGGCAACCTAAAAGAGAGTGAAGCCACAGGTAGACGATAGCCAGCGATGCTCGATTACCGGTGATCTTGATGGGGTAGACCATTGGGAAGAGAACAGCGTAGTACCTGACAAAACACAAGAAGTGATTTGTTTATTTATTTAGATCCCCATTAGCCACAACTAAGGCTGCATGATATTGGAAAAATCTGACATTGCGACATTTTGTTTTTCTCCAATATATATTGCGATATACTTTGTTATACTTAAAAGGAATGTTTGGTCACACTTGATTTTAAAGGTCCACAAAACCCCCTATTTCAGCAACAAAAAAAAGTCAGGAAAGTGGGTGTGTCTAACTCTGTTTAGGAAGGAGTGTCGGCGGAGAGAAAGAGGGAAGGGTCATTAACATTTGCATAAAAATGGGAGTTTCGGTTTGGGCACACGCAGATTTTCACAGAGGCAAAACAAACACACAGTCGCAGGGGAGAAAGACAGTGACTGTGTTTACATGGACAACAATAATCAAATTATTTGCCAAATTATTAAATGGTGGACTTTAATAACTGCAGCTTGGCTCTTTTATTCAGGAACATTTCATTCATGCCCCTTGTGACAAACAAGATATTTGATTCGAGAAACTGCTGAAAGCGTGTATTTTTAATGCAATGTTTAATACTGCATGGCGAATGAGATTACCAACTTAGATGCACTCGGTAGGTAACGTAGGCCCGGTGTTCTGCAGATTTTAGCTCCAACATTAATCAAACACACCTGAATAAGCTAATCAAGGTCTTACTAGGTATACTTGAAACACCCAGGCAGGTGTGTTGAGGCAAGTTAAAGCTAAACCCTGCAGGGCACTGGACCTCCAGGAACGAGATTGGTGACAGTTCTCACTCTTAGCAAACCATTTTGACTTTTGCTTCAGTAAACTCCTAATTTGCTTCTTATAATTAGTATTATTAGGGTAGTTTAGGTATTGGGTAGGATTATGGATGTAGAATAAGATCATACAGAACATGTGCTTTATAAGTCCTAGTGGCAGCCAATATCTCAATAACATGCATGCTAATAAGCAACTAGTTAATAGTGAGAATTGGTCCTTAAATTGTAACCAAATGTATTAATTTTGAGTGAGATCATTCAGTAGGGGAATGAATCATGCTAATGTATAATACATACATATATATATATATATATATATATATATATATATATATATATATATATACATACGTACATACATAGATACATACATACATATATATATATATATATATATATATATATATATATATATATATATATATATATATATATATACAGTTGAAGTCAGAATACCCTATTCACCTATACCACATGTCTTTGGACTTGTAGGGGATAACGGAGCACCCGGAAGAAACCCATGCGGGCACAGGGAGAACATGCAAACTCCACACAGAAACACCAACTGTTCCAGCTGAGGCTTAAACCAGCAACATTTTTGCTGTGAGGGGAACGTGCGCCACTGTGCACAGCCATATACACACACACACACACACACACACACACACACACACACACATATATATATATATATATATATATATATATATATACGGCGCCCGTAATTATTATCTTATGTACTAATTATATTATTCTGTAATTTTGTATAAATACTTTTGCATTAAATTGCTCATTTATTGCAACCCATCTGCAATATTTTGATCATTTTAACATACTGCGCAACACAAATGACTATAAACAATGATTTAATACACAATGATGGGTGGCGTGGGCGTCACAGTGGTGCAGTAGGTAGTGCTGGTGCCTCACAGCAAGAAGGTCGCTGGTTAGAGCCTCGGCTGGGTCAGTTGGAGTTTCTGTGTGGAGTTTGCATGTTATCCCTGCGTTTGCGTGGGTTTCCTCCGGGTGCTCCGGTTTCCCCCACAGTCCAAAGACATGCGGTACAGGTGAATTGGGTAGGGTAAATTGTCAGTAGAAAAGAAAATGCACAGAATGAATGAATGAATGGGTGGTGTTTTCTCATTTTGTGCCAAACATCAGTTATGAGCATAATTACAAGTACAAGGACTCACATTTCAGTTACAATAACAAATATACAAGAGCTCACCTGTCAATGGCAATGGCTCCCAACGTGAGCATGCTGGCAGAGCTGATGAGCAGATATAGCAGAGCCGAGAAGTTGCACCATACAACACCAAACAGCCATTCTCCACGAACAGAACTGGCCACGACAAACGGCAGAACCAGAACAGACAACAGGAGGTTGGAAAGCGTAAGGCTGAACACAAACTTATTGCTTGGCGTTAATAGATACGGCTTCCGATAAAGAGTCAGCACAACTAGCAGATTGCCCAGACATACAAACACGGCAATGGCTAATATGATGACAGACTCCAGGATCCAGGCGCTGCGGTTTTCCACATCTGTGGTGTTCGCCAGGGAGGTTTCATTGCTGCTGGTGTTCATGGTAAGTGCACTACATCATCCATATGCAGACCATGGATTTGTTTGCAGAGATACAGAGATCCGTTGCTTAATCATTTCACAAAGATGTCCTGGAAAGAAGAAAAAAAAACTATTGATTATTATTGTTATTATACATGCTTTACTAAAACTTGCCTTCTGTGGAGAGATATTTTGCAGAATGTCCAAGTATAGCAGCGGTTTTGCTATTGAATTGAATGTTAGCTGAATATTGTTATTGAAAACATCTGACAATTAATGTGATTATCCATTTATTACATATACACTCACCAGCCATTTTATTAGGATCACCTGTCTAACTGCTTATTAATGCAAATTTCTAATCAGCCAATCACATGTAAGCAACTTAACGGATTTATGCATGTAGACATGGTCAAGATGATCTGCTGCAGTTCAAACCGAGCATCAGAATGGGGAATAAAGCTGATTTGAGTGACTTTGAACGTGGCATAGTTGATGGTGCCAGACGGGCTGGTCTAAGTATTTAAGAAACTGCTGATTTACTGGGAAACACAACCATCTCAAGGGTTTACAGAGAATGGTCCAAAAAAGAGAAAAAACGCAGTGAGCGGCAGTTCTGTGGGCGCAAATGCCTTGTTGATGACAGAATGTCAGAGGAGAATGGCCAGACTGATTTCAGCTGATAGAAAGGCAACAGTGTCTCAAATATGCACTCGATACAATCGAAGTGTTGCAGAAGAGCATCACTGAACACACAACATGTCCAACCTTGAGGCGAATGGGCTACAGCAGCAGAAGAACACCGGGTGCCACTCCTGTCAGCTAAGAACAGGAAACTGAGGCTACAATTCACGCAGGCTCACCAAAATTGGACAATAGAAGATTGGAAAAACGTTGCCCGGTGTGATGAGTCTTGATTTCTGCAGCAACATATGGATGGTACGGTCAGAATTTGACGTCAACAACATGAAAGCATGGACCCATCCTGCCTTGTATCAATGGTTCAGGCTGCTGTTGGTGGTGTAATGGTGTGGGGGATATTTTCTTGGCACACTTTGGGCCCATTAGTACCGATTGAGCATCATGTCAACACCACAGCTCACCTGATTATTGTGGCTAACCATGTCCATCCCTTTATGACCACAGTGTACTCATCTTCTGATGGCTACTTCCAGCAGAATAACGCGCCATGTCATAAAGCGTGAATCACCTCAGACTGGTTTCTTGAACATGACATTGATTTCACTGAATTCAAATGGCCTCCACAGTCACTAGATCTCAATCCAATAGAGCACCTTTGGCATGTTGTGTAATGTGAGGACGTATCATAGATGTGCTGCTGACAAATCTGCAGCAACTGCATGGTGCTATCATGTCAATATAGATCAAAGTCTGAGGAATATTTCCAGTACCTTGTTGAATCTATGCCATGAAGGATTAAGACAGTACTGAAGGCAAAAAGGGGTCTAACCTGGTACTGGTAAGGTGTGTCTAATAAAGTGGCCGGTGAGTGTACATGCTGTGCACAGAAAATGTACATCAATTGCCTAAGTTTTCAGTAGTAAATAATGTATTTCTATGGACAAAACACATATACAGCATTTACATTTTACATAAAGAATTATGCTTGATAGCAAATTTCACTGAACGAATTAAATATTTGTCATATGGTTAATAATGCAATTATGTTAACAAATGAAACAAAGTTTTTGATTTTACAGCCATAATAGATCAATCAAGTGCAAAAATGAAGTGGTAATGTGCAAAATAACAACATCCAGGTCTAATATTAGATGAATATGGACCTAAAAGAAAGGTAACAAGCTGTTTACCAGCATAAAACCTCTTGTTATTTCATATACTATGCATATTCTTTTTTTATTAAAACTGAAAATCGTACTAAAAACTAAAATACAATCGTAAATCACAGTGAATTTGACTCATATGTTTCAAGTAACGTTAACGTTATAAGTTAGCTCTTCAGAAGTGTGTTGTTAAGTTTGATAACAAGTTCTCATAACGTTATAACTCATGTAATTAGCTCTTTACTGTAAAAACAAGAATGATACTTTAGAATAGCTTGGTTTTAGTTTAGTACACAGGGAATAATCAAATTACAAAGATATTTAAAAAGATACAAGATACTTAACACTCCTGTCTGAACAAAGCCCACTATTTAAACAATACTACTTTTAGTGTTAGTACGAAAAAAGTTTACTTCAGATGTGTATTAGTTTACGAGAAGTAGCAGGCAACTCACCTCGCTGCTTTAGGTGGTATTAAACGTCGCTTTAACGTAAATGTGTCGATATCGTGACTTTATTTACAGTTTGACGCTGACGGGACACAGAAACTACCGTTACCACCGCAATGGCGGATCTCCGTCTCTCTCAGCCTGAATCCCAGTCTGTGTGTGGTCTGTCTCTGTTTACACTACAGAGATTTAAAAAGTAAGCTTTGTCGAAAGTTTTAAAACAGTTTATAATCTTGTGAGTTGTTAAAAATACAGTTTGGTGACACAAGTAAAATGCGCTGTTTATTTAATAAAATGTTTCTATAATTTAAGTTTACAAAACAAGACCGTGACGAGGGTTTATATTATGTATACATTAAAATAATCGTGCGCGTTTGACTTTAATTTGCAAAAGTATGTTATTTCCGTACTTCAGTAACTTTGGAGATCACTTTTGGACCACCAAAGACGATTAAAGATTCCCGCAGGTGATGTCACAAGAGTCACGTGACCACGCTCGGCCAATGAACGATTTGTACTTAGTCCCACCCTCTGTTTTGGTTATTTTATTATATACGTTACATATTATACATATCAGTTTATAAAACATGCTTGCCAACTATTATTGTCTTACATCTTGAGAGAGAACGGTTTAATAAAGCAATGTCTGATGGCTCTTCTTTCAACATTTGATTTTGCATGAAGATGTTGGCATATTTTGTGACCTGGTGATTTGTATCCCTCTTAAAGCTTGGAAGTTGACAAATAAGTTTTGCTTAAATAACAAGATTAAAGAAGTGTCATACAAAATTCTCCATAGAAATTATCCTGCTAAACATGTTTTGGAAAGATCTAAACTTAATATTTCATAAATGTGAATTTTAAATAATTAATACAAATATCAGTATTAGATGCAAGATTGAAATAAATACATTTAAAAACTTAAATACAAATAAATAAATGTTATTATAAAATATGGAATCTATTATTTAAAAAAAATAAGATTAATACAATATAATAATTCAATAATTGCTTAATAATTAATGAAAAATACGGTTAAACAAGACAAACAAATTTATTAAAAACAAACAAATGCAAATTCGCATTAAAATACATAGAAACAATCTAAATATAAGTAGCAATAAATCAATATTGCACAACAGAAGCTAAATATATATATTCCCCAAAAATATATTAGAATTTAGGATGCTTACATGTAATTAAAATATAATCTTATGCATCTAAAATAAAAGATTAAAAAAATCACCGCTCCTAGGTTTTGCTTGTCAGAATGGTCAGAAAGAGGCGTCGTGTAATATCGCGATATCTGAAATGCGGAAGTGTCTGTCAGATGATTTAGGTCATGTGGTGTGGCTCGGCTAGACTGTCTTTAAACAGTGTAGTTAAACTCAAGCATATTTCATCAGAAAATCTCAGCTTGATCGCCAACGTGAAGACTCTTTTTCCAGCATGCAGAACGTGATAAACTCGGTGAAAGGCACTGCTCTGGGGGTCGCGGAGTTTTTGACGCCAGTTTTGAAGGTAAGCCCAGGAGTGTTAGCATGTTTTGCAGTCCGCATCAAGTAGCTGCTGTGTTGTATGTGAGGTTTAAAAAGAGTTAGAATTGAGATTAAAATACTCTGCTGGTGCAGTATTGATCAGTCAGAAGCGATCAATAACAACAGTTACGAATGTCTATTAATGAAAACATGCAACCTGTGAGATGGCCCGAACTTCAGCAGACGGAGTTTTAGCAAAAACAAACAGGCAAAGTTTTTAAATTGAGGTAAAGTTGGTTTTATATTCGCACATTCTGACTTTCTCCTTAATAATATAATTTCAGAATGGTGTTTTTTGCAAAATCTAAATAGTGAAATCATATTATCAGCCAACGACTATCAAAGTACAACATTGTTCACAGTCAAATAGTGCTAATGTTGCTTTTAAGTCACACTTGCTGGTCATTTCAGACCCAATATTAAAAAGTAGCATGGTAAACATTATAGGGAGAATGTCACAAGTTGTCACTAAACGAATGTGCAAATATAAAACCAACTTTACTTAAGTGTTTATATTGAGGTAAAGTTGGTATTTATATTCACACATAAAGACTTTATCCTTAATAATATATTTTCAGAAATGTATTATTTGTAAAATCTAAATTGTGAAATCATATTAGCAGCCGATAACTGTCAAAGTACAACATTGTCCACAGTCAAATAAATGGTGCTAATGTTGTTTTGAAGTCATACTCGCGTGCTAATTTAGACCAAATATTCAGATTAGCATTGTTAACTAACAATATAAAACTAACTTTACATCAATTGATGACAATTTCTTGCAGTGTGAGGTCAAATTTAGCTTTTAGAAGATGTAAGTGTTGTGTTTTCGTCGAGCAGTGATTCATAAAGGTGTCACATCAGTCAGGTTGTCAGGGTTTTCCTGTAACACAGTGAACATAAATGTTTGTTGACAATTTATTTTTAAACCCTTTGCAATCATATGTTGTTGATGTGTTCTCTAACATAAACAAAACATTTATTACAGTATTTATTCATCTTATGTTGTTCACATCAAGTTAAAAAACTAATTGTTCATTGTTAGTTTGTTTAACCTCACCATGTGTTAATTAATAGGCAACTTTGTATTTTATGCAGATGATACACAGCAACATTTTTGATTAAGGGAAAGTTGTTTTTTTTTATTCACACATTGGGACTTTCTCCTTAATAATATAATTTCAGAAATGTATTATTTGCGATTATTCTACATTGCAAAATTATATTAGAAGCCAATGACTATCAATGTACAACATTGTTTACCGCCAATTAAATAGTGCTAATGTTGTTTCGAAGTCATACTTGCATGCTAATTCAGACCGAATATTAAAAAGTACCATGGTAAACATTATAGGGAGAATGTCACAAGTTGTCACTGAATGAATGTGTGAATATAAAACTAACTTTACCTTAGTGTTTATATTGAGGTAAAGTTGGTATTTATATTCAAACATTAATACTTTCTCCTTAATATAATTTCAGAAAAGTATTATTTGCAAATTATACTAGCGAAATCATATTGGCAGCCAATAACTATCAATATCATATAAATAGTCCTAATGTTGTTTTGAAGTCAAACTTGCATGTGACTTCAGATTGAACAGTTAAATTAGCGTCATAAACAATATAGGGACTGTTAAAATCAACGATTGTGTGAATAATAAACCAACTTTATCTTCAATTCCGTTGGGTGTGAGGTCAAATTTAGCTTTTAGAAGATATGTCGCGTTTTCATCGAGCAGTGATGCATAATGGTGTCACATTAGCCAGGTTATCAAGTTTTTCCTACAACACAGTGAACATTAATGTTTGTTCATAAATGTCATATTGTAGCACTTTAAAATGTTTCGTTAATGTGTTCTCTAACATTCATTCATTCATTCATTTTCTTGTCGGCTTAGTCCCTTCATTAATCCGGGGTTGCCACAGTGGAATGAACCGCCAACTTATCCAGCATGTTTTTACGCAGCGGATGCCCTTCCAGCCGCATCCCATCTCTGGGAAACATCCACACACACTCACTCACACTCATACACTATGGACAATTTAGCCTACCCAATTCACCTGTACCGCATGTCTTTGGACTGTGGGGGAAACCGGAGCACCCGGAGGAAACCCACGCGAACGCAGGGAGAACATGCAAACTCCACACAAACACCAACTGACCCAGCCGAGGCTCGAACCAGCAACCTTCTTACTGTGAGGCGACAGCACTACCTACTGTGCCACTGCGTCACCGTTCTCTAACATAAACAAAACATTTATTACAGTATTTTTCGTCTTATGTTGGTAACGTTAGTTAATGAAACTGTAGTCGTTCAGTGTTCATTTTAAATCACAGTGCATTAATAAAAACATAATAGGCATGGAACGATAACTGTTTTCAAGGTATACAGCGGTTTGTAAAAGTCAAGGTTTTAAAACCGCCAAAATTTTCTGTAATACCATTCCTAAGGTTATGTGTAAGATTTTTTCTTTTCTTTTTTTTTTTTTAACTTTTTTTTAGGACAACAGTATCTTCAGCAGAAAGAAATATCCAAAGATGCCGTTTTAAATTGTAAAGAAATTTTAGTTTTTGAAACTAATGAAGACAGCAGAAGTCAAAGATTAATTTTAAATCATATAGCCTGACATGTTTAGTGCTCCAAAATATGATAAATCTTTCAAAAAAATAAAATGTATTGTTTTTAAAGGGAAAAAGGTTTTTGTTTTTTTACTCAGATATTTAAAAATAATATATTTTAGAGCAGTAATAACAATACCGTGAAACCGTGATTTTTTTATCCAAGGTTATCATATACTGGCCCATGCCTAATACATGACTGTGTATTTTATGCTGATGATACACAACAACTTTTTAGGTTGAAGTTGGTTTTATATTCACAAATTCATCCAGTGACAACTTGTGACAGGCTCCATATTTTGTTTACCATGTTACATTGAATATTGGGTCTGAAATCACATGCAAGTATGACTTCAAAACAGCATTACTGTGATTCATTTGACTGTGAACAATGCTGTACTTTGGCTGCTAAAATGATTTCCGAATGTCTGAATCTATAACCAACTTTACCTCAATGGTTTTTTGAGCAATTTTGCCGGGCAATTTTGCAGAGTGATGTTGCCTGCTTTTCTTTTTTCTTTTTTTTCTTTTTTTATTAAAAATGGGCAACAATGTTGTATTTGTACCCCATTGCCATAATTAGTTACCCAGTGATATTGTTCCTCTTTTATGACATAATTTTCCAAAGTTGCCCAGCAGCATTGCTAAAAAAGTTACCCTGTGTATCATCAGCATTATTAATGAATTAGTCAATGTTAAGATTAACATTAACTGTGATTTATAAATCCGTTTATGTCATGTTAGTATATAAATACATTGTTTTAATAATACTTACTGTAAAGTGACCATCAATTCTTAAGTTAACTTTCTTTCAAAGCTGAAACTTAAACGTATTATCTTTCATAAATTAAAAGGCTTAATATATAATTTAATTAATTAATATATAATTAATATAAAAATGGTAAAAATTGAACATACAGAGGTTTTGTCTTGAGCATTTGGCCTATTTGTTTGGGATCTTATACAATTAGGAGTGAATTTGTGCTTCGTTTGTTAAAAACGCAAAATTCTTGTTTGTGCTCAGTAACAACTTGCATAGATCATGTAAATAATTCAGTCAGTGTTTTTAAATAGCAACCAAAAAGTAAGTTAGAAACTGCAAAAAAGACAAATCCCACGCAATATGAAAAAAAAAGTATATTGAGCACCTGTTCAGTCACACGATCCTCATCCAGTTTTTAGGGAAGTGGAGGACAGAAACTAATTGTCAAGCTGATAACGTCTATCGTGCAGCATTTTTTGTGGAACTGCCATACCTTGTGATTCACAAAATAAATATGTGACATTAAATATGTCCAGGAGTTTGGGTCACTTCAGTTTTTTACTAGGTTGTTTCACATTTATAATGAAAAAAGTTATAAATATAAGTATGATGACCATTTAAAGTAATAAATAAAACAGTAATTTAATAAATACCTACAATTTTACATTATATAAATAAAATAAAACAATGATTTTTTAAATGCAATTTAATAAGTTTATTTTCAACTATCTGCTAAATTCATAACTAAATGTATTGCAACTGTTGTACAGTGACTGCTGTATTTTCATATTAATCATGTGTGTATTTGCATTCAATATTGCAGAACAGTATTAAAGTAGTGCAAAATAATATTGATTTATAAGCCGCATCTGTTATTGATCTGTTGACCGCAGTCTACCAGATAACTATTACTTTGACAGATTTAACTTATCAAAAGGGCAAGGCACGGTTTGTCAACTTGCATTTGAGTTAGCAAAACTCTCTTTCAGACAAGTCATCTTTATTGTCCAGATGTTATTTATATCCTGTGTTGCTTTTTTTTCCAGGAATCTAAATTTAAAGAAACTGGGGTTATAACTCCAGAGGAGGTGAGTGTGCATTCTGCCTTTGTTATGGTTGGAAGTGTGCAATTTACATGCAATGATTCAAACTCAACAGTGCTTTATTTTCTTTGCAGTTTGTTGCAGCAGGAGATCATCTGGTTCATCACTGTCCCACATGGAAATGGCAAGAACACACACAGTTGGCTTTTGTGATTTATGAGGACTCCCCATAAGTGTAATGTATTTTATACTGTAAAAAACACTTATATGGCCTAACTCTACCCCTAAACCTAACCCTCTCCGGAAATCCGTGGCAAAGTTTAATGTGAAAAAACCCTGATTTTAATTTATTTAAAATGACAAGTACACAAGACATGTCCTCATCAACCATCTCATTTAGGGCTGCTATGCGAAAATATGCGATGTTGCTGTTGGGTTTTGCGACAGTGATATTTCTTGCAATATAACATTTTCCCTAGAGAAAAAGTATTTTTATTTGTCTTTTAATAAATGATTTATTTATGTAATGATCATACAAAAATAAACGGGTAATAATGGATATTTTTCTCAACTAATAAACTTTTCTAATCTGAATAAACTGCCATGGTGCAAGCGTTTCAACACTACGAACGAATGAAAACCTGGGCAGATATTCTGAGCCTTATTGGCTGTTGTCAATTTCCTATCTAAACTTTACTCTCTTCATTAGTTTTTATTTACAGCTCTAGATTCACCCTCTAACCAATAGTAGAACAGTATATACTGGCAAGGCAGTCAGTGCTGATAGTCTCGAAATAGTTCAATATTCTGCTCTGTGAATATTTAATTTCTTCAACCCAATTATCTATGCATGAGCCACACATGCTCACCGGATAAGCAAAGACCATTTAAATGAACTCGTTCACTGTCAACAAAATGTGGTTATTGTATTGGCTTGTTTTTTTTTTTTTATCAGTGTAAGTCAAGTTATTGAGCTAAATGTTAAAAGACTTATAAAGATTTTTTATTTTAATAAAATCCTAATATTTATTACAAAGCATCTTCAGTCTGTTTTCGTCCAAGTGCATTCAGAGTTTTTTGTTTTGGCCCAGAATTTTCATTTCAGTGCATAATTTTTAATTTATTAAAATAATAATAGTTATTATTACAAAGCAGTTTTGGTCGACGTTTTTAGCCAAGTACATCCAAGTTTTCTGTTTTGTCAATGAATTTTTTATTTCGGTGCATATTTTTTTAATTTAATAAAATAATGATCTTTATTACAAAGCATTTTCGGTCTATTCTCAGCCAAATGCATTCAGAGTTTTTTATTTTCGGTGCATGTTTTTAATTTAATTAAGTCATTATAGTTATTACAAAGCATTTTTGGTCTGTTTTTGGCCAAGTGCATCCAGAGTTTTTCGTTTCAGGCCAGAATTTTATTTTCGGTGCATTTTTTTTAATTTAATAAAATATAGGCGAGGCAGTGGCACAGTAGGTAGTGCTGTCGCATCACAGCAAGAAGGTCGCTGGGTCGCTGGTTCGATCCTCGGCTCAGTTGGTATTTCTGTGTGGAGTTTGCATGTTCTCCCTGCGTTCGCGTGGGAGGTGCTCCAGTTTCCCCCACAGTCCAGAGACATGCGGTACAGGTGAATTGGGTAGGCTTAATTGTCTGTAGTGTATGAGTGTGTGTGTGAATGTGTGTGGATGTTTCCCATAGTTGGGTTGCGCCTGGAAGGGCATCCGCTGAGTAAAAATGTGCTGGATAAGTTGGCGGTTCACTCTGTTGTGGCGACCCCGGATTAATAAAGGGACTAAGCTGACAAGTGAATAATAAATAACTATAGACATTACAAAGCATTTTTGATCTCGATATTCAGCCAAGTGCATCCAGAATTTTCAGTTTCGGCCCAGAATTTTAATTTCGGTGCTTATTTTTTGGTGCTTATTTTTTGGTGCTTATCCTGATTTTCAATTTCAATGTATTAAAAAGCAATTTCTTGCATCTTTCTACAATATTAATATATTGCATGTACTATTATCACGATAACAATAATGTTTAATATATTGTGCAGCCCTAACCTCAACATTGTTATATTATGGTCATACCTATGTCATTATGCAAATGTTTGTCCTCATAAATCACTTAAACAAGCACACACACACAATTTTACCTGCTATCTATATAGAGACATACCATATACCTCCATTGTTTTTATGTAGAGCCAGTTCTTAATACTATTATCTAGTCCTAAAATTAAATGCTTAAGGCTTTTCAGAGGAATGTCAGATGTACAATATGCTTCAGCTTCTTTTCTGTGGCCTTTTAAAGCATTTTTTTTGCACTTTTAGGGCATCTGGAGAAGAAGCAAAGGTGAAGCCCTATCTGCCCAATGACAAACAGTTCCTATTAACTCGAAACGGTAAGCACAGTTCAAACGTTTTGTTTGTGGAATGTATTAAAGCTGAATATGTGTTTTGTGCTTTAGTTCCATGTTATAAGCGCTGTAAACAGATGGAGTACTCAGATGAGCTGGAGGCCATCATAGAAGAGGACGATGGAGATGGCGGATGGGTGGACACCTTTCATAACTCGGGTAAGAAACAGAAACTGAGTGTATGTGGTCATGTGACTATGTTAAAAATGTCTAATTTATGCACTTCTTTTTTAATGCACTTTTGATATGACGAGTTCATTTGCAAAAACAAAAAACATAACTCTGCTTTTATTAATTTTGGAAATTTATAAACATTTGGAAATGTTTTTTTTTTTTCATTCTAACTCTTTATAGTGTTGGGCCGGTTCCTTTCATATCAAATCACTTTTATTGTCACATCATCAGCAGCACGTGTGCTATGATGAGTGAAAAGCTGGCTCCAGACAGTACAAAATACAGATTTTGGTTTTGGACTGGTTTATACGTCCAAAGCGTTTATGCGTCAAGTGACCGGCTTAACCCTCGGCGCATGCAACGCGCGTAGCTGTGCATTTATACTTCTGCGCGCTGTCACTGTTGGTCTGCATTAACACTTTCGAAACTCCAGTGGGCAGTGAGGTGTTAATGTTCCTCTGTGTCGAGTTTCTTTGCTGCTGTTTTGTTTTTTCTGAACGCTTTCTGAATGTACAAGTGGCTCAAACTCGCTCATTTTGAGGCAGGAACCGGCGGACATGCAACAGCTCTAACTTTGAGGTAAACATAAAACAAAACTTTCCATCTGGAGCTCCTTCACGGGACTCCACACTTGTAAACAATCGCTTCATTGAGCTTGTGCTGCTCTCAGTCCTGCCCTGACTCGTCAGCACTACCAAGCTGACCAATCACAGAGCTTGCTCTACACGTCGTTGCAACGTGTTAAATTTTTTGAGAGGTCCACGTCAGCAACGCCGACAGCCACGGCGTACGGCTATGCGTCAACGCGTAAGCTGCGCAGTAGCATATGCGTGCGCTTGACGCAGAAGTATATATCAGCCTTAATGTTAGCAGGTATGGCACAAAATGTTTTTAGATGCCATTTACACCTGTTTACAGAGTGATCGGATCAACAAAACCATATTTTAGTATCATGTGTCAACGGAGCCTTATAGACTTTTTTTGTATTGCTAGGTGTTACAGGGGTGACTGAAGCTGTTCGGGAAATCTCATTGGATAATAAGGTTAGGAAACACTGTGTGAATTACTTAGAAGTTGGAAAAATAGCATTTTTAGTAATGCTCGTATGTTTTATTTTCTATATTTTCCAGTTTTAGTTTAATTTGACTTATTTTGTGTGTGTATGTTGTTAATTCATTCTTATTTTAGATTGATAGTTAAGTTCATTAACTTGAAAATGAGTTTTATTATTTGTCATCAAGTTTTAAATAATAGTTCAAAGTAGTTTTTGCATTTTCTTTTTTTAATTAATTTATTTTTAAAATTGCAATTTTTCTAAATAGGTTAATTTTTTGTTTTTCATAGATATTTTAGGTCATCAAGTTAAACTAAAAGAATTCTTTATACTGTACATTAGGTCGCTTATTATGTCATCATTTGTTTTGTATTCAAATGAAGGATAATATGAATATGAATGTGAAGACGGGTGCCTGTGGAAATAGTGGAGATGACGATGATGATGAAGAAGGAGAGGCGGCAGACATGGAAGGTAGACCTGAATTTTTATAAATTTATTTATTTATTACAATATTGTTAATACAAATTGTTATCTAGTCTACACAACTTCAACACAATTCTGTTTGTATTTCAGAATATGAAGAAAGTGGACTTTTGGAAACAGATGATGTGAGAAATTAAGCCAAAAACATGATTTCCAACAACATAATGTGCTTTTTCTTGAATTACTTGTTCATGTTTATTTCTGTAGGCCACTCTTGACACAAGTAAAATGGCTGATTTAAGTAAAACTAAGGCCGAAGCTGGAGGGGAAGATGCCATTCTACAGACAAGAACTTATGACCTGTATATCACATATGACAAATATTACCAGACCCCAAGACTATGGCTGTTTGGATATGATGAGGTAATTTTGCTTTATTATGCTTTGACGTGATGCAATATATTAATATCTTAGTATTGTTGCTGTATTCAATTTGTTTACAGGGCCCATTTCCTATTTTCATATATTAGCGTTTATGTAATGTGTAAAATAACAGTTTGTGATGGTAAAAAAAAGTGTGAAAAAGGTCAAATGAGTTGCTATCTGACATGCATTGTAAGTGGCTGACCAATAACAACAGAATTGGGCCCTCTGACCAATCACAGCAGAGCAGGCTTATAGAAAGGCAGGGTTTAGAGAGACCCGGTCCTTAAACAAACCATTTCAGACACAGTAAATAAAGAGCTGCAGTGTTTATTATAAAATAATAAAGCATTTCTTAGACCTTAAGTGGATGTAAACCTGTTGTGAGAGACCTCCAAAAACTAAATGTTACATTTAAAATAATAGGTTCTCTCTCAAAGGCTCATCTAATAGGCTTTTTACTCATTTGAGGCCACTGCTGAATTATTTTGACGATTTGGCACATCTTGATGTGGTTCTTTAGGAAATAATTTCATGATTAGATTTAACCCTCACTTTTGCTTTCATACGTATTGACCCAGAGACAATTCAAAACAACCAAAATCACAATAACCAGGACTCAGATAGCCATTATCCTTATTTATTCAGCTACTCCTCAACCATAATGATCAGCATTATTAATTTTAAAGTTTATTTTATGTGTTTATTTACTTTGCTGTTTTTTTTGTTTGTCTGTTCACTCCTTTATTGTTATATGTTTAATATGGGGGGGTATATGATCATTTATGTTAATATAAGTGTTTTTAAAAGAGAAATAAAAGTCGAAATTGCACATTTGCATACAACAAATGCTTTTTTTATTTACTTGTGTTTCATAAAGAAAGTTGAATAAAACCAATAATAATAGGTGGACTTTAATGGCAGAGCGTTGTGCTCTTTCACAGGACAGACAGCCTCTAACTGTGGATCAGATGTATGAAGACATCAGCCAGGATCATGTTAAAAAAACCGTCACCATTGAGAATCACCCTAATCTCCCTCCACCTGCTATGTGCTCCGTACATCCATGCAGGTAAATGCAAACATTTATACCTGATTTGATTAGCATATTTTTTCAGAACAACTTGGTTAACTTAAACTCACGCCAACACGGGGAGGACATGCAAACTCCACACAGAAATGCCAACTGGCTCAGCCAAGACTAGAACCAGCGACCTTCTTGCTGTGCCACAATGCATTTCATTGTATAATATTAAGTTAAAGCTGACATCACCAAATTACATTATATGTTTTTTTTTAGATCAAATTTCCTCAATGTTTCATTTATTATCTTATTTATTAATTGACTTCCTTTCATTTACAGTACACCTTATTCAAACTAATAATCTGCTCTTCTGTGTTTATTTGACAGACACGCTGAGGTGATGAAAAAGATTATCGAGACTGTGGCGGAAGGAGGAGGTGAACTCGGGGTCCATATGTATCCTTTTTTTCCGAAAAAATCTTCTTAAAGGGTTAGTTCACCCAAAAATGGCAATTCGGTTATTAATTACTCACCCTCGTGTCATTCCAATAAACCAAGGCTTTGTCTAAAATCGCCTACTACCCAGTAGGTACTGCATTTGTTTTTAAACTTACTACTCAACCGTTAAAAAAGTATGTTCTGTACAGTATGAATGTGATTAGTTTGAATGGAACTCGGGCGTCCTACATCCACCATTTTGTTATGATCACCTACACCCATCAGTTTCGTCACTTCACTCCCATTCATAAATTCTCTCGTGGTGCATCACAGAATAGCATTGCATTGGTAATTCTTGAATTCAGACCTACTACTCGGCTTGCATGCTGTTTGAAGCGTACTATAGTATGGACGTATGCAATTTCAGATGCAACCTGACACCTTAATTGATCTTCAGAACACAAATTCAGATATATTAGATGAAATCTAAGAGCTCTCTCATCCTCCATAAACAGCAATGGTCCTGAGTTTAGAAAAGCAACCAAAAACATAGTCAGAACATTTCATTTTAAACATTCACTGTATATGGAGGATGAGAGAGCTCTTCTTGATTTGTGTTCTGAAGATGAATAAAATAATTGGTAATTATTAACATCAAGCATTATTTTAGAAGCACATTCTGTTCTGTTCAGCAGATTTATTATTATCATTATTATTTTTTAAATATTTCTAAATCATTTATCCTGTGCTCATCAATGCTGCATTGTTTGTAGTAAAACGTTGTTTCAGTTACTATAAACTTCAGTTTCAAATGATCATGCAGAAATCAGAATCAAAACAAATTTAAAATCAAGAAAAACATTAATTTAGCCAAACGTGTTCAGCCCTTTTGCTTATCAGAATCATAAAATGAACATTACCAGTTTGCAAAATTCTTCAACATATCTTATTTTCTGTTCTAGTTTACTTGTTCAAAACCTGTTTCTTTCTTTCTTAAGATATTTTGATGTAAGATAAGCGCTGACTTGTATAGTATGTTTTTTTTATTATGAGTGTCAATGGTTACCGCTTTGCAACATTCTTCAAAATATCTTCTTCTGTGTTTTCGTTTATTTGTTCAAACCGTTTTTTTTCTTGAAGATAATGTGAACAAATAAACAAAAACACAGAAAAAGATATTTTGAAGAATGTTGCAAACCAGTAACCATTGATGCTCTTAGTGAGAAAGACAAATACTATACAAGTCAGCGGTTATATTACATCACAATATCTTCAAGAAAGAAAGAAACAGGTTTTGAACAAGTAAACAAGAACACAAAAGAAGATATTTTGAAGAATGTTGAAAAATGGTAACCATTGACACTCGGGAACATTATGGAAGTCAATGGTTACGACATCACAATATCTTCAAGAAAGAAAGACAGAAAGAAAGAAACCACAGGTTTTGAACAAGTAAATGAGAACACAAAAGAAGATATTGTAAAGAATGTTGCAAACCGGTAACCTGGTTACGACATCAAAATCTGTTTCTTTCTTTCTTTCTTGAAGATATTGTGATGTTGTAACCATTGACCTCCATAGTATTTGTTTTTCTTACTAGTTTCAATGGTCACAGTTTTGCAACATTCTTCAAAATATCTTTCGTGTTCTTGTTTACTTGTTCAAAGCCTGTTAGTTTGTTTCTTTCTTGAAGATATTGTGAACAAATAAACGAGAACACAAGATACTTTGAGGAATGTTGTAAAGCGGTAACCATTGACTACTTAACCATCAAAAACTGTGAAGTAAATGGTTTTGACATCACAATATCCTCAGAAGAGGAAATGAACATGTTATGAGTAAACAGAATATTTAAGTGAACTGTACCTTTAATTCATGCAGTTGTTATTGTAATAAACAAATGTTTATTCCCCTTATAGATCACTTTACCTTAACCTTCCTAACTCCAGGTATCTTCTGATTTTCCTGAAATTTGTGCAAGCTGTCATTCCAACAATAGAGTACGATTACACAAGGCATTTCACCATGTAGATCCCACAGCTACGACAACATGGATTGTTTCTGCGCTAAAGAAGCGGCGACAATACGAACCTCGAAAGACTCTCTGTCCTGAAAAATGCTGGCAATGGTGTATGAAACATCTGGGAGAGGATCTGACGGTCAAATCACACACTCACACACACACACATTTAAATCCAGTTTCCTAACTATTCTTCAGCTTAACCTCTGTACTATCACTTGCTCTTAATGCTGTCCTGAAATGAAAAGTGTTTTATTTTATATTTGCGTTACAAAAATATATAAAAATATAAGCCATGGCAAATAATAAATGGCTGTTCAAATATGTTGGTGTTATTTGTATGTTCATGATCATTTTGTGTGTGCGAGGTGAGCTTGTTCGATATGCCAGCTTGTCTTAACGCGTTGTACTTTGAATGTAGGAATCTCTGTCTTGGTTTCTGATTATTGTTGTGGTAAAGATGTATTCACAAATCCAGCGGACTACATCTATTGTATTTGTGGATTTTAACGTATTGTACACAATGTCAGGAGAAGCTGGAGCTAAATTGGTGCTTTGTTCTATGTTGGTCCACAGATAAACACAAAAACAGTTACTAAATAATAAAAGTCTGTGTAGTCTTTAAGGGAATTTAATTCATACACCTTAATGCAACAATGAGTGCTATTAATTCTAAGATATGTGAATCTGTTAATAAAACACTCTTTTTATGGAGGATTGCTAGTTGTATTAACTACTTTGGGGTTACTGTGCTATATTTACCTCAGGAAATATATTGTTATATGTGTAGTGCTCCTCACAAAATAGACAACACTAAAATAAGATGTAAAATACACTTTGCTGAAGCTATTATTAATGTAAGTTAATGCTAATTTCAACTAACATATATTTATTTGGGTTTTAATAAAGAAGTAAATGTTATTTGATTTAACTGAGCTGATGGGAAGGCTAACAAAAACGAACTAATAATGCAACAAATATATTCATTGTAATAAATTTGGACATTGTGTAAGCTGTCAAGTATATGCTAACAAGGGTTTTTAAGGTTTTTTTTTCCTAATTTAGATGTAAAATGTCGTTATTGTAAGTTGTTTACATAATGTCATTATTATTATTATTATTATTATTATTATTACCTCAGAAAATATATTGATAGTTTTAAGTGCATTGCTCATCACAAAATAGACAACACTAAAAGTGTAAAAATACACTTTAACGAAGCTGTTGTTAATGTAAGTTAACGTAAGTTTTTTTAGTTTGTTTTAATAAGAAACTAAATGATATTTGATTAAACTGAGCTGATGTGGAGGCTAACAGAAATGAATAAACAAGTCAATAGAAATCATTGTAAATTTTGACGTTGTTTAAGTTGTCATTTGTGTCCTAACAAGGACTTATAAGTCATAATTTTTCCGCTGAAAAAAATGGTTTAAACCAGCATAGGCAGGTTGGCTGGTTTAAGCTGGTCGACCAGCCTGGTGTTAGAGGGCTCTTGGCCATTACAGGCTGGTGATGGACCAGCTAAAACCAGCTTGTCCAACCTATCCATGCTGGGAGCCCAGCCCAAACCAGCAATGTTCAGCTTAAACCAGGATGGTCAAGCTGGTTTTAGCTGGTCATTTACCAGCCTGACTAACTAAGACCAGCCTGAAATGGCCAAGACCCTTCTAAAACCAGGGTGGTCGACCAGCTATCAGCCAACCATGCTTAGGTTGATTCAAGCAGTTTTTTTCCAGCAGGGTTCTTATTATTATACTAAAATTAAATATTATTCATAGTAATATTTGTGATTTACGTATTACATAATATCAAAAGTCAGTAACGTAAATAAATAATACACATATGTGAGTTATGTTTATGTTTTGGCGGAACTTTTCCTACCGGAACGTTTTAATACTCGACTTTGACAGGGAATGTGCATCAGTCGCAACAGCCCCCGTGTTGGAGTGTTTGTACTGGTATGTTTATATTTCCTTAACAGTGTTAAACCTTATTTATGTTTTTGAAATCTCTTTCCACAGTTGTTTATTAGTTAACATGGTTGTAAAATAAATTGTGTATAATAAGTGTCTTAAGTCATGGAACGTTTGATTGTTTTCCAGCTCAAAATTGAGCCAAATAACTGAGTTTAAGAAAAGCTAAATTCATACGGAGATTTAACATACCACAATAACTGCGGTAACTGTAGTATTTTAGAATTTATTAGACTGCTACTAGGTATAGAAATGTACTGTTATTAGTTGTAATTAATTGTAATTCGTTTATAGGAAACAGTTGACAGCGTTAAGAAATTGCTACGTTTCATATCAACAAATGTTTGTTTGTTTTCCACAAAATATCACAGAATACGTTTGTTTATGTACCTCATGTCCACACACATTCCCTGAATTAATAGTCCATCCAAAAGCATATTCAAATATTAATAATATTCTGTCATTATTTGCTCAACTTCACGTTGTTTCATGTACTAAGTGTTTTAAAATAACTACACAATACGTAAAAGGAGGCATTTTCCATGGGGATCGGGAAAAAAGAATGACAATGTATTATTATGACAATATAATTAATTGACAAATAATAGTTTTTGTCCAATCGAGTAAATTACATTGACATACAAAAAGTCATTGGAAACCACACATCTACCCTTCAGACTCAGCCTTTAACCAAGTTCATCTCTTCTACTGTTAATGTATTGCAGATTGTGTACAGTGTCCTGTGTGGAGATGGAGGCTGTTCTGTCTGCTCTGCCGTGGGTCCCAGTGAACATCAGTGGTTCTGATCTACTGGCCAAAGCCTGGTTTGGTGACTCTCAGTACCGCGTCCTGCTGACTGACCTGAGCACTGTGTGGGAAGAAGAGATGAGCACAGATGACATCCAGAGCCGAGCACAGGCAAGAATATACCACACTGCAAGACTCCAGTTGAACTGCATTTAATGTAGTAATGCCTCAATCAAATGAATAACCAATGAAGGCAAAACAGTGTAGCAGTATATTAGTACACACGCTGTGATTTCATAATAAATACAAACTCTGAATTATAATAATGATAAAATTATTTTATGTGATTTATAAAATGTGTTTCTGTTTTTGAAAGTCTGTCACAGAGGAATCATTTATTTAATAAAAAAAAATACAACAAAACTGCATACTTGCATATAGTCATCATTATTTTAATGTAATACAATCTCAATCTAAAAATATTAAATGTACTATTATTAATAAATATAATAGTATTATCGAATTATGGTTATTATATAAATATACTAAATATAATAATATATATTTTACGACACTATTTAATGCTAAAATATTCTTCTTTTCACTGAAGGATCTGAACAAGCGTTTACGGGCTCCTGCACAGGCGTTTTTCTCTCATCTGTGTTCTGTGGCTCGGCCCTGTTTCTCTGGACTGGATGAGGATCAGATCTCTGCAGCACAGGCGGCTCTTGAACAGCATGGTGAAAGCCTGACGGTCAAGCTCAAGAGTGAACTGGCTGGACTACCCTTCTACTGGGAGTTTAGATGTACAACAACGCCTGTAGCAGTGGTGTGAACCTTTTTTTTCAAAAACATCACATCTGATGGCATGATATGTGTTGTTTAAGAGCTCAGCATAAATGAGTTGCCCCCCTCTTATTATAATTTTTTTTTTGAAAATGAATGTTTCCAAACATTTCTCAGTGAATATAGGTGATATTTTGGTGCATTTAAACAAAAGAGTTGTAATAAACAGTTATATCTATGAAATTCAAGTTTGGTCAGCTGACATCTTTAGGAATAGAAAGATTATACATTTACATTCAAATGAGTTATTGCTCCAAACAAATGACCAAATTAACTTAATTAATTAATTAATTAATTAATTAATTATCTCTCTCTCTCTCTCTCTCTCTCTCTCTCTCTATTTATATATATATAAATATATATATATATATAATTACTTATTTATTTTCTTTATTAATTATTTACTTAATTATTTATTCCTTATTTATTCACTTATTTATTACTTATTTACTTAATTATTTATTTACTTATTACTTTATATACTTGTTATTTGTAACTTGTTTATTTACTTATTTCTCTTTTATTAACTTAATTAATTATTTATTTATTTACTTATTTATTTTTTATTTGCTTAATTATTTATTTACTTATTACTTTTTTATTTACATATTTATTTACTTACTTATTTATTTATTTATTTATATATTTACGTAATTATTTATTTACTTTTTTTACTTTTTACTTATTTACTTTTTTCTTGTGTATTAATTTGATATTTTTTAATTTATGTATGTATTTATATATATTTGTTTTTTTATGAATGTATTTTCCTGCTGCAGAATTTTTCACACCAGGACATTGTAATAAAAATAAATAAATAAATAAATAAATAAATAAATAATAACAATAAAATAATAATAAATAATAAAAAAATTATATATATATATATTTTTTTCAGCCGTAATATAAAATTTCAAATACCTAAAATATTCTTTGTAAATCATAACATAAATAGTCAGAAAATATATATTTTTAAACTGAACAATTTGGTCAGTTTATTCAAAGCGTGTGTTGATGTTTTTGTTTGTTTTTACATACATTTTAACAAGCTTTATATTGATTGAGAACTTAAATTGCTTCAGTACAGTAAATGTTGTTTTGAAAGTTAAAAAAGAAATACTTTCTTAATTTAGTAGATTTAGCACAAGTTTGACGTACAACAACATTTAGTAGATTGTGAACTAGTGATTGCAGTCAAAATGTCAATCATTTTAATCATTTAGAGACCTTATAAATTATTTAATCAAAATTAAAGGGGCAGTTCATCCAAAACTGAAAATGTTTGGACTATTTACCCTCAATTGTTGTCAACCCTTCTTTCTTCTGTTGAACACTAAAGAAGATTTTTGGATGAAAAATGAAAACCTGTAACCATTGATTTCTATAGTAGGAAAAATGAAATCTCTAAAAGTCAATGCTTACAGGTTTTTTCAAGATGTTATCTTTTTTGTTCAACAGAAAAAAGAAACTCATAAACGTTTGAAACAAGTAAAAAATGATAACCTTCCCTTTAATTACAGTAGTTGTGTGACTGTGTTTGTCAATCAGGTGTGCAGGCAGCTTGTGCGCCCCCTTCTGGCCATGACTCTAGTCTTGCAGCGACAGGCCGAGGATCTTGCAGCTCTTTTGGCCCGTAAGGATGCAGAAATACAGGACTATCAGGAGAACGGAGCCGTCCTGAGTCGAGGTAAAAATCTCATCTTCTGCAGTTTGGTTTGTGTCTGTTTTTAGCACCCTGACACTCATCTGAAACACTCTCCTCACAGCCAGACTCCAGACAGAGCCGTTCGAGGTGCATCAGTACAAGGAGAACTTCATCACGCAGGTGCGAAACTCTTTTTCATTCAGTCTCTGGCTAAATTTGAACCAGTGCAAACATGTTCAGTTAGAACTAGCATTCATGTGAGACCAGGAGTGGTCAATCACATGTATGTACTGAAGCCAGTCCCGTTTGCTGGTTTGAGGATCTGTGCTTGACTCAGAGCTGAGGGTCACCACACACACACAGACTTGTTCCTATATCCCAGCGGGGACTCTCATAGACGTAATGATACAATCTGTAATAAACTAGGCATGGGACGATAATCGTTTTCAAGGTATACTGCGGTTTGGAAAAGTTAAGGTTTTAAAACCGTCAACATTTTCTGTAATACCGTTCCTAAGGTATGTGCACGATTTTTTTATTTACATTTTTTTTGTTTTGTTTTTTAGGGCAACAGTATCTTCAGCAGAAAATATGTCTAAAGGTGCCGTTTTAAATTGCAAAAATCTGTTTTTTGAAACAAATGAAGTAAGCAGAAATCAATAATTAATTTAGCCTGACATGTTTACTCTTACAAAATATATAAGATGTTTCTCAAAATAAAATATAGTGTGTTCAAAGGCGAAAAATTGTTGTTTTTAACAGACATTTTAAAAGAATTTTATTTTCGAGCAGTAATCACAATGCCGTGAAACCGTGATATTTTTATCCAAAGTTATCATACCTTCAGAATCTTATACCTGCCCATACCTAACTTAAACGCAACCCTCACAGCGTTTTTACATTTTTTTAAATGCTTCATTCTGTGTGATTTATAAGCATGAGGAGCTCAAATTTGACGTTCCCATGAGTGTGTGTGCATTTAGGTTTAAGTCCCCACCAGGATATAAAAACCAGTACACACACATACACAGAGACAGTGTATAATTAGGCTGTGGTGTGGTTTGTGGAGCTCACAAAGTGTTTGCAGTGACAGCTCGGTTGTAGCTTTGCCTCACACTGAACTGTCTGTTGAGAGTGTATGAGGATTTCCAGTATTTAGGATTTATATCGGGGTATATTTTCAGTTGGGACCAAAAGACCATGTTTAATTTTTTTCAAACTAAACTTATTTATTTCAATATAGGGCTGTCGCGATAACCACAATATTGCAATACTGTGCTTTGTCAAGTACAGGAAAAAGAGTAACCGCAAAAACCGTGTGATCATTCTCACCTGCCCTCATGAGATGTATACTAATGATAAAATACTTGTCAATGTTCACTGATCTTTGCTATAAATGCAATACTGTATGATTCAAATAATTTCAATCATATTTATAATCTAAATCACTGTATTTAGCTCCTGTTTAAATGCAGTCAGCTCCTCCCCGCACATCACTGGTGCATGTAAACGTTATTTGCTGGGGTGTCTGGCGGTAGCACCGCTTATCGCGCTAGTAATCGTCCGGATTTATCGCAGGAGTAATTTCCTCACCACCATATTTCAATGTTTAAATTTATGGCTACAAGTTCAAATCTCAGTTTACCCTTATCGGACACAAATTTAATGAAATGACGCTGCTGAAGGTATTTAAAAAAATTGGATTGTGGTATATTATATTGGTTTGAAATTTCGTGGAAAGATTTAAGTGCACTGTCTGTGAGGAGTCACGATAATTTTTAGATCCCTGATTTGGACCAATTTGAAAAAACAATATTTTGGAAGAATATTGGGAAATCAGGTTTAAAAGCAATAGGCGAGAATAAGCTGATATTAGCTGGAATTTTAAAAAAGCTTTTTGATGTCTCCCCATGTTAGAAGAGTATTTGACATAATGAAATCCGTTGAAACATCTTGATGAATTTAGAAAGGTGCTTATTAATGTCTTTAAAAAAAGTATTGGGTAAGTGACAAGGAAGGGATTGAAATAAATATAAAAAATTAGGGAGAATGTTCATTCTGATTTCATTAATCCTACCCAAAAAAGAAATAGGAAGTGTCCTCAAAATGTTAAGGTCCTTTTAATAACTTTAAAAAGAGGGCATAGTTTTTTTTACATAAGTCCTTTAATATTGGTGTAATAAATATGCCAAGATGTTTAAAGCCTACAGATGTTATTCTAAAGGGTAAAAGGGACGAAAGATCGTTTAGATTAGGAATATGGAAAGAGAGTGCCATAGACTTAGACGGGTAATTTTATATCTGGATAAAATAATCTGCTGTAATAAAATCCTGCTGTAATCTGAAAGGCATTTTAGTATAGCTGGGATTGACCTATCTGGTTCAGAAATATACAGCAACACGTCATCTGCATATAAAGAAAACCAATATTCTTTGTCTCCTACTGTTATTCCAAAAACATGTTGACATTGTCTTATAGATTCAACTAGTGGCTTAATTACATGGGCAAAGAGCAGCGGAGAAATAAAATGGTTAAAAACAATGTAAAACTACTTTTATTCTAGCCGAAATAAAACCAGTAAGACTTTCTACAGAAGAAAAAATATTATAGAAAATACTGTAAAAGATTTCTTGCTCTATTCAACATCATTTGAGAAATTAATTTGGCTAATAATATTGACTTCAACTGTATCAAAACAGCAACTTCTTTGTTTAGTCAGGCAGTTACCAGGGTTTTGCTCGTACCAGCGTTCCTAAGCGAGACTGGCAGTCCATCAGGTTTCTGACCGCTCTTCCTTACAGTCATTACAAACACACTGACCACACGGGGAGGAGCCAAACCAGCAGCCATAATTCAGTCCAGAACTGTGTTTATGGGCCACTTTTTGTTCTCTTTATGAGTAATGTTCTTGTGCCTGAATCACTGAGTTATTTATTGGATTGAGCTGCGAGCTTTAATTTGAGTGCTGATCGAGTGTTTTTCTGCGCGAGGTGAGTCCTTTGATAGGCGTGTGTTTGATCTGGGTCCGTGTGTTTGTGCGAATCCACCGGTATTTCTCACTGGCCTGGTGAATGTGCAAGCAGAAATGTGTGGCTTGACTTGGTGGTGTGAGAAAAGGATATGAGTCTGTTCGCCCACTCGTCCACTGGACCAGACACTCACATACTAGTCGCCCTTAAACTGGTGGCATTTCAGCACACTGTGGCACCAGTATTAGATAAATTACTCAAAATATTTTCAACATTCAAATACAGAACTGTGCAAAAGTTTTAGGGCAACATTGAATCTGTTGAATTACTGTTGGTCTAGTGGATATATGTGACCCTTTACCACAAAACCACATGTGTCAATTAAAAAAAAAAAAGTTCATACAATTTAAATAATTTGGTCCTACTTTATATTAAGTGGCCTTAATTAATATGTACTTACATATGAACTAATAGTTTGTTACAATGTATTTATTGTGTAAATACATGTATTTACTGTGTACTTATGCTTGATTAAATACATGTATGTAAATACACCTGTAATTAACTTTTGTAATTACATTTGCAAATACACTGTTGACCATCCCTTACACCTTAACCCACCCTTAAACCTACCATGCCACCAAACCTGTCCATAACCCAACCTCTATCCCAACTCAAAAGCACCACAAGTGTTCTCAAATACATCATAAACACAGTAAGTACATTGTATTTATTTTTTTGATATAAGTACATAGTAGTTAAGGACACTTAATATAAAGTGGGACCAATAATTTTTTTTCAGTTCATGTATAAGGATAGGGCTTAGGTTAGAATTTGAATTATTTTGGATTATTTGGTGTTGGAGAGCCACTGTCCTGCCGAGTTCAGCCTCAACTTGCTTCAACACACCTGCTGGAAGTTTCTAGTATATCTAGTAAGAGCTTAATTAGCTGCTTCAGGTGAGTTTGATTAGGGTTGGAGCTAAACTCTCCAGGACACCTGTCCTCTAGGACCAAGTTTGGACACCCCTGGTTTAAGACATGTGAAAGACAATGTTGGAGAGAGGCTGTTTGTCTTGACTTAAGCTGCATTTCTACCAATGTTGTTAGCAATATTGTCTGAATTTATGGAATTGTGAATATTGTAAAGTACAGATCAGTTTTAATTCCATTCTGGAATGACTTGTTGTGGTAATAGTTTTCATTTTAAATATGATAATGATCCGCTAATTGTAGGGAAATCCTATTTGGAGATTGTAAACGGCTGATGAAACACAGGCAGTCATGAAAGGGCAGAATATTATAGAGGCTGTATGATATCATATGGACAGAACAAGAAAGATAAGACTCTCTTAACCTCAAGAAGAACTCTGGAAATAGCTAAAAGAAGCCTGATATTACACAGCAAATTATATTAGAAAATGTCAGGACTTCAGCTTGAAGAGGAAATGTTTTGCTGCTATTTTTGTACAATTGTTTTTGTATATTTTCCTATATTTTCTGTTCGTTTTTAAGAAAAAGCTGATTAATTGTATATTGTGCAAAACAAAGCTGGTATAGTGCTTAGGATTTTTGCATAGCACTGTGTATATGTATACAGTGCATTTGGAAACTATTCATAGCGCTTCACTTTTTCCAATTTTTTTTTTATGTTACAGCCTTATTCCAAAATGGATTAAATTCACACAATACACACAATACCCCATAATGACAATGCGGAAAAGGATTTTTTGAAATTGTTGCAAATTTATTAAAAATAAAAAACCTGAAAAATCACATGTACATCAGTATTCACAGCCTTTGCCGTGAAGCTCTAAATTGAGCTCAGGTACATTCTGTTTCCACTGATCATTCTTGAGATGTTTCAGCAGCTTCATTGGAGTTTAGCTGTGGTAAATTCAGTTGATTGGACATGATTTGAAAAGGCATACACCTGTCTATATAAGGTCTCAGGGTCAACAGTGCATGTCAAAGCACAAACCAAGCATGAAGACAAAAATTGTCTGTAGACCTCCGAGACAGGATTGTCTCGAGGCACAAGGTTGGGGAAGATTACAGAAAAATTTCTGCTGCTACGAAAGTTCCAATGAGCACAGCGGCCTCCATCATCCGTAAGTGGAAGATGTTTGGAACCACCAGGACTCTTCCTAGAGCTGGCCGGCCATCTAAGCTGAGTGATCGGTGGAGTAGGGCCTTAGTCAGGGAGGTGAT